GTACTCCTTGGGCTCCGGGGGTACAGGGAGTACGATGGGAGTACGGGAGTACGATGGGAGTACGGGAGTACGATGGGAGTACGGGAGTACGATGGGAGTACGGGAGTATGGGAGTACGGGAGTACGTGTTTTCCCCCTTGAGGTATATACACTGATGAAAATCTGGCTCTCAATAAATCCAAGAGCGGTTTCAACTTGAACAGCCTGTCTTGGTTCGAATTTTTGTTGTCGTTGTTCGAAAAATGCCAAAACTTGAGGAGCAATTCGAACCTCTCTCTCGACATAGAATTTCGAATGATCTTCGATCCGTACAACTGGCTGCTACTCCAGTAGTGGCTCAGTTTCGGCATTTGTACCAACCCCATCTGGATAATGATTCCAAGGAATTTGAGCATCTCTTGATCAGTGGTTGGTTTCCATTGACGAAATTTGGACCGACTGGTGATCTCATGAGTTTGAAAGTATTGATCCGCATATCGATTAGTTTCACGAACCATAAGATCGATAATTTCGTCCGTGATGAAATGCCGATAGCAGTCAATGGGATCGATTGCATTATCTTCCGTGAGAGAAGTTACGTCTTCGTCGAGTCCATGCCCCTCCATAAATTCAGCATCTGATTCTGATTTTATTTCATTCCAGCTATTTGAATCCATCTCGTCATCCGACATTTCTTCGACGGAACTTCCAGATTCCAAAGGCATGCTATCCAAATCATTATCCAAAGAGCTCACTTCACTTAGTGAGCTAGTGCTTTCTTCTGTATCGATTTCTTCGAACGACATATGAAATATTTCGAAATTTTAGCCGCTTTTATACATACAAGAATAGAGACAAGAACAAAGAAGAAAAATCTGGAAGTTTCGTTCTCTTATCTTATATGTGCTGCCCGTAAGATGTGAAAGAACGCACAGATAACTTAAGGGATTTTTCATATGATCGCAAAAAATGACTCATTATGTGATGATACAAAGAAGAGAACAATGAACAAGCAGCGGGAGATAATCAAAAAGGTCACTAAGTGCATTTGTTAGAAGTTAATTCTTCACAAAAATGAATATTTCGAAGAAGTTTCTAAGAAAACTGAATCGTGGTGAATGGGTTAAGTATCATCATTCAATTGTAAAAGGCATGACAATCGATGCGATTGAAAGTTTAGCTTGTATTGTTCTTACTGAGAACGTTTTTATCTGTAATAACAAATATTATTGACAAATTCCAGGTGGTGCCATGAGATTACCCATCACATTAACATCAGCTAATATAATTGTGTGGAATTAGAAACAAAAATTAGTTGAACATAAAAAAACTGCAAATGAATTATATGGCCCAAAAGTATATTTGACAAAATATTTACTGAGCTGATAATTATTTCTATTTTTATCATAGATATATTGGTGCTACATCTTTGACTTCAAATGATTCAATTGTGGCGAAAGGCATTACATCAAGTATTCTGAGTAGCATGCACTTCGTCTGTTTAGTTGTAGTAGAGATATGATGGTCTATATGATCACCATCGATGCGCTGTCTTGTATCAACATGTGTCAACAATGTATCGTTTTTGCCGATCATTCAACTAAGAAATATTTTGATTGGATGCAATTCAAGTAGTGTTCACTTTCATCAGTCTATGCTCAACAACGAAATCTATACCACTCTTCTGACATAAAACAATATGAGCTCATCTATTTAATCTTCGGTCATTAATTAAATATGTCGATATCTTTGCACAAACTAAACAACAGTATTTATACTCAACCAAAATCAAACACACTCGTCTTTATGAAATAGTAAAAAATAGCAGTTAAGCATCTAACAGATGGAAGAAGAGACGCAGGTCTTTCTGCCCAGATAATTTCTTTCCCATGTTCAGTTTTGAGGAAATCATGCACGAAAGCCAAAAGACTCGGATATTTTACATCGTAATAAATGTTCTCATGTTGATTCGGATCATCATGATATTTATCAATAAAGACAAATCGGGTGTGCACACCCTGAATATCTTTGAAATTCCGTTTCGAATCATCGACAAACACCACCGGATGTAATTCCTCAATTGCTTGTTTCTTCGGATTGTTACCCAGATTTTCGCCATTATAACCCGTACTGACCACTCGATCAATCGGAAATCCATGTGAGCGAAAGTTATCTAAACGGTGCTCAGTAAACCGAGGAGACATCGCCGTGACACAGACAAGCGCATAGCCTGCTTGATGTAATAGATGACAAGCGTCAAGAGATCCATCAAGCATAGGCATTGTCCGCCATGCTTCGGCGTCCCACACAGCATAGAAATGATTCTCTTCTTCAGATGTAAATTTTACACCGTACATATCGGCAGCCTGTTAATCGAAAACTCGAAGTTATCGAGTAGAAAGCTAAGTGTGAACTTACACGAAAGGATTTAGGTGAGACAACAGTCAGTTGTTTTCCAAATGCTTTTTCGTAGACTTGAGCAAAAGTTGCATGATCATCCAAAAGAACACCATCACAATCGAGTGCAATGATTGGTTTCATATTGATGATCGAGGACAATACTGAATCTTTGGTCGTATTATTCTTATCAATCGACAGATCGGAAGAAAAGAAAGAGAATGTGAATGTGTCAAACAACAGAATCGAACCAAATATTTATATACGTACTCAATGCCTAACACGTCATATTCATGTGACGTGATATTGTATATCTTGCGCAAATATTTTCTGTGTGAGTCAAAATATCATTTAGAAATAGCACACATCAAAGTATAACTCAGTTAGTTCCTCTTTTTCATAATTATGTAATTTCGCTCGTGGAAAAGTAACTTGTTTCAATTAATCACCCAAAGCAAGCGTCAATATTTCGCGAACAGATAACACTCACAGACAACGTTCACGTATCAACAAATTGTGTCACCAATCATGCTGGGAAAAATGTAAAAATTTTTGTTATTGACCGCAGAATGCGACTATTTTAAATGTCCAATGAACCAGCCTGTAGATAAAATATATGTACATACAGTAGAGTAGAAACTGTTTTGAAGTTGTCTCTTAATCGTGCTTCAAAAAAGTGTGGGTGTGGGTGCTGATCTTTTTGTTCTGTCGACCCATACGCACATCTCACCCACACATACACCCTCCATATTGAAAACTTATATATTCTAAGTAGAAAATGTATTTAGTGTCTGATATAACCTCGAATACCATAAGGATCTCCACATACCGTACCATGAGCCACAATGATGTTTTCTTTTAGCAGAAATAAATATTGAATACCATACCATGAAAATAATTGTATTTCGCACAGAAATTATTTTTGCGCTAGAAAGCACTATACTAAAGAGAGAATCCATTTTTGGTTTGATCGAGGCTCGAACAAAATACTATACCCGAAATTCATCATGCCATGAACCTCATGAAAGTCTCTTCAACGTCAAATAAATATTCACTGCAACTGAATGAAAAGAACTGCATTTGATACAGAATACAATTGTGAATTAGAAAACATCCGAAAGAGAGAATTCATTTAACCCTTTTAGGTAGAATTGTAATTCTCACGCTCAATCTCAAATGGGCGCTCGTGAGCGTGAGCGTTTTCATTTAAGAAAATCCTAAAACTGTAATCCAATTAATTTCTTTGTGACTAGAGCTACACAACTCATGCTTATGAGCACTCATTTGAGCGTTAACGAATGGCATGCTCATGACTGCTCATGAGCGTTGCCGTGAACTGTACATTCCGTCTACTTTCAGGCCCATATCGAAACCAATGAATGAAATTCCTTTGAGATTTAATATTTAATATGGGCATTATGCACTGTTGATATTTTCATCAAAACTTTTGAAAAATCTTTAAAGTAATTTTCAGTACATGGCAGTACTCTCCACGAGGGTGATGAAGAAGTTTTCTGCTCATCCCCGTGGAGGAGTACGAGTGTGGGTCAAAATTCGATTGAGAGTTATCTACAAAGCATTCTTTGGCATATCACTAACACTGGAGGTGTTTATATTGTCCGTCGAAAAAATGGCACATATTCGGGTCAAATGAAAGCTCTCACCCCCAAACTAGCAAGGTTAAAATATTAGCTCCCCTTGACTTGTCTAGAGGGAGATATTTAAACTCTAAATTTAGGTATAAAATGAATCAGGAAAGGTTTTCTCCACTATTACAAGGACAAAACATAGTGTTGTTCGGACCATATAAAAGAGAGACCCAACAAACCTTATAATCGGCCCGAACAACACTATGTTTTGTCCTTATAATAGTGGAGAAAACCTTTCCTGATTCATTTTATACCTAAATTTAAAATTTAAATATCTCCCTCTAGACAAGTCAAGGGGAGCTAATATTTTAACCTTCTTAGTTTGACGGTAAGAGCTTTCATTTGACCCGAATATGTGCCATTTTTTCGACGGACAATACAAACACCTCCGTTGTAAGAGCCACTCCAAACTTGATTTCAACAAGCAACAGCAAACTATTTCGCGGGCCACAAAAGGGCATTGTCCGCCCTCCTTCTTTTTAGAATAGAAGTGGTTCTTCAAAGTTCAATCAGGCTTACTACCTTAGTGGCCTCACTAGGGTAATAACGCTTGTGTAGATGTATACACTGAGGCCTCCCTTATGTAATAGAGAAAACAGTTTCTCGATATCTTTTTGCATTCGCGAGTTATGTGAAGATTATAAAACTTGAAAAAACCGTACTGTATTTAGTATGATGGACCTGAAAGGGTTAAGGTGTGTCCGAGGCTCAAACAAAATAGACTAACCCACGGTCATGATACCATGATTCTGATGAAATTTTGGTTTCGTAAAATAAACATTAACTGCAACTGAATGAAAACAATTGCATATGATGCAAATTTTAATTCTGTATCAATTGTTATATCAGCGAAGTAGAGAATATGGTTTTCAAGAGAAAAAGATTTTTTGGAAAGAAATGATTGTTTGACTGTCAGGGTCAATTTTCATGTTTGATGGTCGATCTTTGTGTAAACTAGTGATGACAATTGAAATTGTTAAGGAAGGAACGTTTCAATCTTAAGTAATCTTTTTTTTATGTTGTGAAAGAGCATGTGCGTAAGATGAAGATCAAAAATTTGATTGTTGCTTTTGATAGCTGTCGGTTGTGTTGAAATATGTGGATAATTTTTGAATGTGCTGTGCAAATTATGAAATTTGAGCAGTTCTTCACAGGCATATATAGATGGCCGTCTGCTTATCGATTTATGATTATCTGGATTTACGTTCATACAATGGTAATAAAGTTCCTTGACCACGTCTTTTTTCTGTTTGGTTTTTTCTGTTTATTACCTATGAAATTGCTTAGGTAAGTAAAAATGTTAAAGTATATTATAGCATTGATTATGTTTTTTAGCTGATAGTTTTAAAGTACTTTCAACACTTTGATTCTGCACCAGTGGCACCTACGAATCCTCCTAATGGAATGGCATCTACTACATTAATATTGAATTCCCTTGCAACTACTAATAAATCAGAACTATTTCCTAATAGTAGGTATGAATAGTTGTCCAGTGGTAGTAATATTATTGTAAGTGTCATTACATCAGGCGAATTTGCTGGAAGTTGCTGCTGCAGAGTTCACTATATTTGGAGTGGTTGTTTTTGCAAAGTAGATAACTAATCAATCTGACATTGAAACCAACTATATATATATATATGATTACGTTTCTTTTAGCGGTCGTGGTTATATTCGAAATCACTGACTGAATATCGTCGAAAAACGGATTTAAGACAATGTAATATTAATTTTTTTCTTTTATGTAATCCGCATAAGTGTGTATCTAGGCAATAATATGTTGAATTTTCAAATCGCCACTATCTTACCTGGATTATCAATCTCGTCATCTTCAAGTCACTCATCCTCATGACTTTATTGTTTCTTGTGAATTTTGTAAATATTTTGTTTGATTTTTTTGTGTTATTTATTACTTTTTTTTAAATAAAACTTTTCTCTACTAACAGGCAGGATGTTTTCCTACTATATTCAGTGATCCCTAAAATAGAAAAAAAATCATTTAAATGGTTATTTTTTAAATTTTCATGCAAGACTTTCATTTAAATGGTTAATTTCAAAATTTGCATAGAGAAAATTTCATGTTTCTAGTTATTCAAGAAACATTAAAATCATTACACTAGTTTTATTATTTTTGCATTTTTTTCATGACTTGATTTCCATAGTTTCGAAAAAATTAAAATTATCACATTTATTCAATTATTTCGACATCATTTTCGTTACATGATTTCAATTATTTTGTCAAATATAAATCAGTAGATTAATTTAATTACTTCTACATTTGACACATTCAATTTCAAGCGTATTTCAAATGCTTACAATGTTTTGCTTGATTAGTATTTTGTATACTATATGTACTTTGCCGATAAACACGACGGTAGAGCAAAATGAACCTCTGAAAAGTTCACCGCAGAGCCCTTCAAAGGACAATCAATCCAAAATTATACCCAAATCTAGGTACAACCACCCATTCATATGAATTATAAAATAGATGAAATAAAAGTTAGTTCCAATTTTCATCTTTTTCATCACGAGATTTTCGCACACTTTAATGTTTTTTGTTACATGACTTTGATGTAAAGTTAATCATTTTCATGAATTAAAATTCTGATCTTTGTCAATGAATTTCAAAAGAACTTCAACAATAATATTCGTTTCATTATCGAAAATGACATTTTTTTTCATGTCGCTTCATCATTTTTTATGACAAAAATTTCATTAAAATGATGTAAATATACCTCATTTTTTGCCGCTTTTTTTGCTCACTGGGTACTGTATCAACGAATTGTTTTATACTCAACGACAACATTGAATGTGTCGAAAGTAATATAATTACCAGATATTGATTGTTTAAACACTCACAATTACGAAAAATTGATAAATGATAATGAGCTTATTTGTTCAAATATTTGTGCGTTACTCACACAGTCATACAAAAGTTGCCATATACTCTTTATTGCTTTCGAGCGATCTCTTTTCTTTGATCTCTCTGTCTGAATCATCTTGTTTGTATATACAAGCAAGGCGATTGAGAAGGAGAGCGAAAGAGAAAGAGACTACTCTTAACAATAAATTCGAATATGGCCACTTCTTATGTATATGCACATGACAAAAAAACACTTCATGAATATAGCGTACTATGCCATCAGTCATCAAAAAGCCAAACTCTTCAATAAACGTAACACTCGTTTCAACAAACGAAAAATCGAAAAAATATCAAAATAAATCCTGGAAAAAATAAAATAAATTGTATCACCTTCATGTCAAAGACATGTCTTGAACTGATTATTATTCACAATGGATGCACCGTGTGTATTATGTTTTAAAGAATTAAACATGCCAGCAATACCAATACAGTTGATTCTAGCAGAAAACTCGATGTTATATTTAACAATCAAATTGAAATCAATCGAGAACACTTTAGGAAACAAATAATATTCTTTTTTAGTAATACTGTCTTCTATTGGTACAACGTTGATAATTGATGCGATTTATTCTATC